ACTCCATTCCTGATTTTCACCACACCCATGCACCAAAAGGACATTGATCACACCATTGCATGTAGTTTTCGGTTTTGTTGATGAAAGCAGTTTTCACACCGCATTTGGCAACATTTAATGTCTATTTTTGGGACACCTTACCAAATAATCATTCAGTTCTCTTTGGTGGCACACTGTATATATTGTAATAGGAATAAAATATAGCTTTCTGTAAAAAGAATTCACCTTTGGGTTGTCCAGACTACGTGCTGCTTTCATGGTCTCAGGTTGTGAAGCAGCCATAGCTGATGAAAGGAAAAATAAGAAATTAAAAGGAGTGTCCTAGCAGTAACACCTATTAACAGTGACTGATTATGGATATTCTAGAAGCATGACATCTGCACGAAAACAAGACTAAACGAAACGACAACGAATCCAAAGGAGTCCAGTTTCCTGCGGCCCAGATGCCCCCGATAAAATTAATAGGGGTGGATCGGCAGTCACCTGCGAAAGCGCAAAAATTTCTGCCTTTTTACCACAGGAACACCTCATTAGGATGCGTTCTGACGAACGCGATTAATCCTAATACTTTATGTAGGTGTCACAATGTCAACCAAGTTTTGTAATTCTGAACATTTGGTGTTCAGCAGAATCTGGTTACTATTGATTTGACAGTACAATCACACTGCCTGCCACATTATCAGATAATAATAATAAATAATAAATCTATCACTTTATATTACACAAATTTCATTTGCATATGATCAAATGCGCATAACATATAACATGTGGCTTTGCGCTGTCAGTGCTGTAATTAAGAATTAAGCAGAGGTCGTTTTATCTTTTAATATTATTATAATAATAATTATCAAGACATCATAATCATCATCTCCATCATTTGTAAAGCACAATTTCTGTACAAACACACAAATGTGCTTCAAAATTGGCAAAGCTAACTAATCTAGGGTTGTCCTTAAATCCTACATTATATGATTCTTCTCTAAGACAAAAACTTTCATCATAATCGAAGCTGTTGTTTCCAAGGTTCTTTTTTCTTTACGTAATAGGTGCAGGTACAGGTACTTTTCAATAATCAGAGCAATCAAACATGTCAGGATTTGCAGATGTTTTTTCTCTTGGAATTACATTGTACTGAGTATAAAACAGTCCTCTGTTTAAAGAGCGGCAGGACTTTTCCGCAGGTGGCGGGTGGCGGGTTAAAAATATATATGAAATAAAATATTTTAACTCGTTTTAGTGTAATTGATATTGATATAACTGTATGTTGTAATTTTAAAATAATTTCAACGTTTATGTACTAGCTACCAGACTCCAAATAAAAGTTTTGTTTTGTTTTGTCTTATCTACTTAAGCGCACTATTTTTATTTTCTCAAATATGAAAAAAAAAAAAACGAGAAATCATGCCTGTGAAAACAGTCACCTCTCCCTTATAGCTCCGCACCGCAAGTGACGTTTCGCCAGGCTACACGCGATGTGTCAAATGAAAATGGGCTATGTCAAGCAAGACACATGGCACGTGTCGAGGAGACAATAACATTTCAGACTATCCCTCTCATAACCATGTGGGCACATTTTCCTGTTCAATCAGCTTGCAGGGAAGGAGGTGTTGGGGGTTGTGGCTATGGATAGATGGGGGAACCAATTCACAACTACATGAAAATACACACGCAGAAATGGTAGCAAGGAACAAGAACTCAACGGTAGGACAATGGGCAATCACCTTTTAATAGTCTGGCTGTGTTAACTGAGAGCAACATGTCTGACAAGAATGGTTGATTTGATTTGATAAAAATTTGGAACAAGTAGAGGGGAATGAAAATTAAGGTCCCACAACCTTTTCAACCATGGGTGCCTGAAGGCATGCTCACACAGTCAAAACCTTTTGAAATCTAGAAGCTCCAAAATGCAATAGGGTACATTTTGGCATAAATTATACAAATCATCCACAGTGATGGGAAACCTTTGTGAAATATAGCATATGAATATAAATAAAGTTGCTAGATTTCCCTTTATGAAATTATAAAATAGGTATTGAGTTAGGTTACTTATAGTTCTCCCAAGCTTCCTTATTGAAAAAACTGTCATACCGCATATTAAGACAAGACAAGACAATGTTTTATTTAGAGTCTTATACAGTCCTATGTATATCGACTTTATCCAAATAATTTAAAATTATAACACAAATTGCACACTAGTGGAACTATAATCAATGTTAACCTAAACAACTAATGATCTTCTTTTCTCATAGCAGTCGAATACGTATTTTGCAATTAACTTTTGCACTGGTTTGGTCTTGCTCGAAGGGTTTATTAACAACAGAAACACATCATCTGGTGCCATTCTGTTTACTGATATTCTGTATTCTTTGTTTAAGTATTCAAATAAAGTACTTCTCTTTTCTTGAGACGCAGGGCACAGAGTTATAAAGTGTATTTCATCTTCTACGTCTTTTTTACAGATAGGACAGATCCTCTCTTCCGGTTTCTTATAAGGTCTTACATACCGACCTGTCTCTATCGCCAATTTGTGACTACTTAGACGAAGTTTAGTTAGAGTTATCCGGTGTTGGACGTTGGTGACCTGGTGGAGATTATCTTCACATTTATAATTTTCTATTGTTTTAAATTTTCAGAAGGTTCTTAGTTTGTTCTTTTGGTTGGCGTCTTTTCTTACGTCATTGTTTACGTCACTTAACCATCTTTGTAATTCGATGTCTTTCAGTCTTCGTTTGATAATGTTCAATATTCCTATGTCATTTTCATGTGCTTTTGTCCAGAGGTATCCCAGCCCTATTTGGTCTAATACGCGTTTGATTTTTTGGCTTCATAATTCCTTATTCATTCTCAACTTCATATCATTATAAACCACCTGTGATAATTTGTGTTTTTGGTGTTTGGTTAGAGTTAGCCAAAACTTAAAATTCCTATATTGTGCTTCGATTTTCATTGGGAATCTTCCTGTTTCAGCCCTGCATGCATTGTTGCTGCAGTATTTATTTACACCTAGCAACCATTTCAAGAATTTAATTTGAACTAGTTCTGCGGGATCTTTTTTTATTTGGTCGTTACTGTCGATACCCCAAATTTCACTTCCGTAGAGAAGTATGGGGGATATCAGAGCATCGAATAGCTTAATCGACAGCATAACATTTTCTCTAAAGTTGTCACCCATCTCTTTTCTTAGTTTATAAGGGACCGGTCATTATTTATGTGGGGGGGGGGGG